AGTTTTTATCTATATCATCCATATGTATGTATGTATACATGTATGTATGTATACCATGTGAATGCCTGGTGCTAACTGAAGCCAGAAAAGCTTATCAGATTCCCTGGTACCAGAATTAGAGTTAGTTGTGAGCTGCCATGTGGAAATTGAACCTGGGTTCTCCATTAAGAACAGCAAATGCTCTTAACCATAGAGCCACCTCTCCAGTCCCTGGGCCTTCTTCTTCATTTCCCACAAACTTCTGGCAAATCCCCTGTGTAGGTCTCCTACCTGTCAACAGGAGCCCTGAGATTCCCAATGAACACCATCCTGTCCAGTTTCATATGGGCTCTGGGGATTGATTCTAACTCAGGTCCTCCCCAAGCCTGAAACAGCATTTTGGAACAATCGTATCTATTACTTTTTTCAGTACACGTTTATAGAGCAAACACAATGTCCTCAATGGCACTGGGCCAATAGCAGAAAACTAAGCAGTAGAATCACTAAGCAAAAACCCTGAATCCAGAAAGCGTGATGCAGAATCTAGCCTGGGAGAAGCCCAGCTATGTGGTGAGAACTGCCTGGCACAACAGGAGGAGAAAGACCCCACTGGAGGTGGAGTAAGGGAAGAGGAGGACAACCTCCCAAAAGGATGGCTCAGAGCCTGCTGTAAGGATAAGTAGGACTCATCTATAGATGGGAAGTAAAACAGAGTCCCAGAATGAAGAGAAACTGTCGAAGTAATCTAACTCCCATGAGTTCAAAGCCTCAGCTACGTAGTAAATTCACGGGCTACATCCTGTCTGAAAACCCACAACAGCAGCAAGAGTAAGCAAGCTGTCTAGGCAAAAATAGTTGCAGGTTTTCCACACAACAGTAAAGCAGGTGAGCCTTCTTGCCATAGCCACAAAGATAATAGCATTCTCTAATGAACGGACCACGATTCCATCTTCACGTGTCCAACTCATATTTCCAACATCAACTTGTAAAGATTTCCAGCACAGGGACTCACTCCTGTGAGCTGTAAAGCCAGCCAGTGCTACACAGCAAAAACTGTCTCAAGATAGATAGACAGGTAGACAGTCAGACAGACAGATACAATCAAGTAATAAAAGATCTTGCTTACACAGAAAGAAGCACTGCTTTTTTAAATGTCAAGGGAAGCCGGGTTGTGGAAATAGGGAAGCAGGAAGTGGAGGATTAGGGCAAGCTCAAGGACAGTCCTATCTACACACACAGTAAGTCCCAGGTGAGCCAGGGCTACATAGAGAGACCCTGTCTCAAACAAACACTAATGCAGTCAGCTGGGCTTGGTGGTACACACTTATACATGACCTCCAATACTCACAAGGCAGAGACAGGAAGATTTCAAGTTCAAATCTGCCGGGACAACAGAGCGAGTTTAAGGCCAATCAGAACAACTTAGTAAGACTGTTTCAAAATTTAAGAATTTCTGAAAAATAATTAAAAAGAAAGAAAAGGCTGGTGCTGGAAAGATGGGTCTGTGATTAAGAGCATTCACCCTTCCTCCAGAGGACTGGAGTTTGGATCCCAGCATTCACATCATGCGGCTCACAACTGTCTTTAACTCCAAATCTAGGGGATCCAACGCTCTCTCTTAGACTTCACGAACGGTACATAAGTATCAGTACAAAAGCGGGCATGGTATTGTATAGCTGTGACCCCAGCTCTTAGAATGGAGAGACAGGAGAATCAGGGAGGCATTCAAAGTCAACCTTGGTTGCACATGGAGTCTAAGGCTAGCTTGAGCTCATGACACCTGTCTTAAGAAAACAAAAACTGGGGCCCCACTGGGGCCAGTGGATGGCTCAGCAGGTGAGGTACTTGCTAGACACACCTGACCACCTGGCTTGCTCCCCAGAATGCACGTGAAGGTGAAAGCAAAGAACCAACTCCACAAAGTTATCCCCTTACCTTCACAGGAGCAACATGGCTCACGTGGACACACACACACACACCATACACACTGTACATACACACAAATATTAAACTTTTAAAAAGACAAAATGTTCTATGGTTCAGCATTGTCTGTATTGAGTTTAATGCCCCACACTTGTTTCATCTTCATATAGGCCTAGTGCTCCAGTATACTCTGAACCCCCATCCATAATCTTGGTGAGAAATACAGAATTCTCATCCCCAAGTTTGTTAGACTTTCCTTTAATTTTATATGCTCCTCATACTTCACAGCAGTGTTCAAAGAATACCCATGGCAACGACAGACTGTCACCAATTTAGAACAATGAGGTACCAGCAGAGTGATTCACAGACATGGTAAATATGGCCAGGAGGCAGGGCTGCAGCTGCAGTGGAAAACACCACCCTCACCTAGCCCGCATAAGACCAGGTTCACTAAGGCTAGCCACCACTCTCTGCAGAGACTGGCTGTTGAGTGAATTCTCCACTTCTTCAGTGACTAAAGGCAAAGTACTTAAACTCTCCTCAGTTTCCCCAAATATAAATGGAGATCACATGGCAGTGGGTTTTACATATTTCATTGCTACAGTAGTCATATTGAATCACTCCAAAGGCCAGTATGAGGAAACAAATCTGTAATTCCTGCACTCAGGAAGCTAAGACAGGAGGATCTCTCTAGGTCAGAGTCCAGCCTGGCCTACCACAAAAGTTCCAAGCTATCCAATGGATTCATAGCAAGCCCTGTCTTAAAGACATGAACAAAAATGTAACTCCCAAAAAGCCACTTTCAACAGTGGTTCGGACACCAGGGCTTTCTAAACCTCCGAAACTAGAAGCCATCTACACTATCTACTGTCTCAATGAAATTTTTTTAACTTTTAGAGGGGTTTTACTCTTAGCCCAACCTGGCCTAGAACTGCACAGGTCAGCCTGGCCTCAAACTCATGACAATCCTCCTGCCTCGGTCTCCTGCTGCTGGGATAACAGGTGTGAGCCACCAACTCCAGCTTCAACATGGCTTCTGATTTCTCTCCCCAAGACTGGAATGGGGAGGTGCTCACTTAAAGCCGCCAGTGTCCCCAGCTGAAATCCTTTTGCTTGGGCCAGCACGTGAGGAAAGAGGCAAGGCTGGTGTGCTGCTTCAAAGGGGGGCATGCCAGACCTGCGCTCCTGCTGGAAGGAGCCAATGAGCCTAAGGCACAGTAAGCAAACTCTCAAGAATCCCCAACAGCACAGGTACTGGTCACTGCTCCTAAGTACAAGTACAAACAGGGACCCAGAAAAAGAACTACTTATTGGCCAAGTTCCAAAAGGGCAAGGCCTCGCTGATATTCCTTCCCCTCCATATTTCAGCATTAAAACTCCCGACTGCCCCCCCCCCCTTCATGATTTCAATGACAGGTACAGCAAGGCAAAATAAAATGTCTGAAACAGACCAACACAAGCTCCGGGACTTGTACAGCAGGTGGGACAGGTGTCTTGACAGTTTAGAGCAGCTTCCTTCCAACCGGCCTGACAATGGACGCCAAAGGATAAAGGGCCATTTAAAAAACAAATGAGGACTGGACTGCACCTCAGAAGTGGAGGGGCTTGCTTGTCTGGATGCACCAGGCCCTGGTTGGGAACTCCAGCACAGAAAACAAAGAAGAAAAAAAAAGTGAGGTTTCTTACAGTGCAGCACAGACAGCTTTCTGCCACCTGCTCCAAGAGCCCTTTAAGCCTCCCGATGGCCCAGTCCTGCCTCACTTCCCCTCTCCGCATTCCAGAGTGTCAGTGGTCACGGGTAGGGGGTCTCGACACACAAAAGCCAAAGACCCAGGGTTTGGGAGGCAGTCTCCAGCCATCCTCGCTCCACCGGCCCAGGTCTCCCTCCCCTCAGCGTGCTCGAGACTACTGACCCATTCGGGAGTCCAAGCGGGCGCCGCTGCTACCTTGGCTAATGGCAGCACTGAATGAAAGGAGCGGAGGCAGCCTCAGGATTTATGAATGTGCAGGGGAGGAGGGATATCATGTGACACTAAAGGAGAACGTCTTATTCACAAAAAAAAAAAAAAAAAAGTGGTGAGCGAGCGAGCACAGCCACTGAACCGCAGGGGCAGAGAGTGGGGACCACTCGGCCCCCAGGCAGAGTACCGCCAGGGAAGACCGGCGGCCCCGCCCCCGCGCCCCGCAGGGAGACGTCCCGAACCCGAGAGCGGAGACCCAGCCCTGAGCACGACTGCGGGGGTGGGGGGAGACGGGAGACAGCCGTTCCTCGGCCCGGAGACAGTGACAGGCCCGGGTCTCCCCGGGAGGCAGCGCACAGTATCTTCGACTATGCACCGAGAGCTTTGTTCCCCCTCGGCCCGCGGGCCGGGCACGCGCTTCCCTCACTTAACAGCCAGGAGCGCGCTTCCCCGCACGCTCTCTCCCGCCCCCGGAGCTGCCCGGACAGCGCGGGGCGCGTGTGCCGACCCACACGCGCGCGCACACGCTCGCGGGCCCCGGCACTCCGCGGGGCTGCTCCCGCGCTCCGGCGGCTGCGCGGACCTGGGGCGCGCGCGCGCACACGCGCACACACACACACACACACACACACACACACACTGACCCCGCGCCGAGCCCGACCGGCCCTCCTCTCCCCACCCCCAGCTCCTCCGGGTTTTTTATGAATGAAAATGTGGTATGCAAATGAGAGCGATTCAAGAAAACCGAAATGGCGGAGCCCGGGGCCCCAGAGGGCTCCGGAGAGGACGGTGGGGCGGGCGGCGGGGCTGGGAATCACCAAGTCACCAAGCACACAGACCCATCGGGTACTGGGATGCCCGGCGTGCAGGGCGGCAGAGCTTCCGCCCCAAGCGGGCCTCGGGACTGCCCCGAGGTCAACCGCGCGCCCTTGGCCCGGCCTCGACCTGGACTGGCGGACCCCTGGCGGTTCCTGCCGCCTCCCCCAGGCAAGCCCGAGAGCCGCGCGCAGCCCCGACAGCCCAGCCAGCGGCTGCACCCCGTGCCAAGTTCCCGACGAGTCCCCGCCTGCGTCCTTGGCGGGGGCCCCACGCCACCCCACCGGGCACCCTCATCCCACCCACCCAAGGCGGACTTACTCGTCCGGGTGTGTTTCTTCGGTCATCTTCTTGTTCACCTAGACGCCTGTCCCGCGCCGGGCAGCCTGGCTCCCTTCATCTTCCTGTGCGCTCGCCCCCCTTCCTCACATCTCCGACATCTCCTGATTTGGTGGTGGAGGTGGGGGGGGAGGCTAGAGATGAAGGGGGCGCCGAGGCAGGCGGGGAAACGGGGCGCCCCGAGCGCAGGGCGAGGTCTGGGAAGGGGCGCACGGAGCAGCGGACGCCGCTGGCCAGGCGGGCGCTGCCCCCCCAGGCTCCGAGCCGGTGCTAGGGGGAGATTTGGGAAGGGGACCCGGAGGGGGAGAGCAGCAGAAAAACAAGCACGCTCGAGGCGGCGGGCGGGCGGCCGGCTGCACTGGGGCCGGGCCGGGGTCGCCCCTGGGGACCGGGCCAATCAGGGTTCCGGGTAGTGCTCTGCGGCCGGGGGAGGTGCGCCTTGGAGGCGGTGCAGGGCGCCCCGTCCGAGCCCCATCTCGCCACTCCACCGATTTACTCCATATTGGATTCTCAGCGCCGCCAACAGGAGGAGGAAGTAGGGCGGAAGCGATGACGTCTTCCCAGCGGCTAGAGGTGGTGGAGTGCAAAAAGCTTCCTACTTGCAACTCCCCCAAAAGAGAGAGAGAGAACACACACACACACAAAACACTTTGTCCCGCCTACTGAGCGAGTCCCGCTTCTACTCCCCCCTCCCGCTAGCTTCCAGTCCAGGAGGAGCCGAGGAACGGCGTGGTTGGCGCTCCGTTTGTCCGGCTCCGAATCCCTTGTCTCCGGGGCTCCGGGTTTTAGGAAGCCCAAGAGGGAGGAGGCGGGAGCGGAGGACAAGAACACATCTGGCTCCCGTTTTGTCCCCTCCCTCCTCCCAAACCTTTGGATTAAAAAATCAAGGGGGAGGGGGGGCGGGGCGGAGATGGGGTGGAGTTTAGATGCAGCCTGAGAGGAGAGCTTGGAGAAACACTGCAGGGTGCTGGGTGGGGGCGGTGCAGGTGGCCTCTGCTGGCCTCAATATCCCAACTCTGATAGAAACCCAGCAAAGAGAGGGGTGGTTTGGACTTTGCTAGTGTCGTGCTTTTTTTTTTTTCTCCCCCCGACAGAGAACAAGTGTTTTGCTAGCATATTTTCCAAGGTGGCTTCAAACTTGTATAGCCAGGGCTCCCCTTGAACTTTTGATCCACCTGCCTCAGCCTTCCAAGTGATGGGATTACTGCTGTTCAACACCTTAGAGCGGGCTTTTTATAAAAGTCAGTTTGTACACAGAAACGAAAGGTACATCAGCCGAGAAACTTGGCATTGCAGGCAGAAATGAAGTAAAGTTATCCAATAGTCTCTCTTGTTGGTGAATAATGTGTCTTGCCTCCAGCTCTTTAAGTCCATAACTGGACTACAAATTACTGGCCCTTGGAAGAGAGAGGCCAGGGAACTCCTCATTACTCTACCCACATCCTGTCTTGTCTTCTTTTTTTAGAGTTGCGGGGCGGGAGGGGGCTGCATGCGTGTCTGCACCACCTGTGGTGCAGGGAGAGGAGGGAAGAGGGTATTGGATCCCCTGGAACTGGAGTTGTAGCTGGTTGTTAGCCTCCACGTGGGTGCTAGGAATTAAACCAAGGCCTTCTGGAAGATTAACCGCTGAGTCATCTCTCCCCACCCCAGGCAGGGGCCTAGGACCCGCCTGAAGTTTTCGGAGAGGACCCAGGCACCATTTGGACAATGGGGAGGATTGCTCCCAGGTCTTCAACCTGTGCAAATGCCTGGGCTTTAAATTTGTGGTATTGAAATCCTTTACAATTTCTGAAGGGCATGCCATGTTTTCACTTTGCACTGGATCCCAGGAGTTAAGATGCATTGGATATTTTCCTGAAGTCCTGCCGTGAATTTCTGCCCTCCTGAATATGCCACGAGAGATAGTCCACCGAGATTTTAACTAAGGAGAGCTACTAAACAAACTAGGGATGAAATATTTACCTCAAAAATAGAAAGCTGCTGGAGTGGATACTCCCATTCTAAGAGGTAAGAGGAGTGATACAAGTTCAAGTCCAGCCTGGTCTACACAGGGAATCCTAGGCTGGACAGAGCTATGAAGCAAGACCCAGTCTTAAACAAAACTATAAATTAAAAACCAGCCAGGCATGGTGGATCATGTCTATAATTCTAGCATTCTGGAGGCAAAACAGTAGGTGGATCTCTGTGAGTGTGAGGCTAAGTCTGGTCTGCATAATGAGTTCCAGGCCAACCAGGAACATGGTGAGACCCTGATTGTGGTGGTCGTGATGATGGTGGTGATAATAAAACCAGCAGCAACAACTAAAACAAAACAAATAGAGATGCCCATAAAGGAATATGCATAATGAGAGATCCACAAGGGCTTGAAAACTAAGAGTTTCACCTTTGAGTCAGGTGGAAACTGGTGGTTTTCATGCTTTTCACAACCATGATCTTTATGGACAGATTGAGGTTCGACACTTGATTCTGAGTGCTAGTGACCCGTTGGGGTGAAGACACTAGACCTCATAAACATCTGCAGTTTGTTTTTCTTCAAGAAGACCTGAGACCTTGAAAGTGAGGTCTCTATTATTCTTCAGCTTTCACAGGGTTAATGAAGCAAACCTTTCCTCTCTTCAGGTTTTGTTTCTGTTTTTTGAGACCATGAAGAATATGAGACATGCTGGGTGTGGTGGTAGACACCATTAATCCTGGCACTCTGGAGGTAAAGGCAGGTAGATCTCTTGAGTTCAAGGCCATGAAGGTCTACAGAGGTAGTACCAAGGCAGCTAGGGCAAACTAGTGAGACCTTGGCTTAGAAAGAGGGGTGTGTGGGGAGGCAGGATCTATGAGATGCTCAGTGGTTAAGAGCAATGGTTGTTCTTCCAGAGGACCCAGGCATGATTCACATCATCCACATGTCTGCCCACAACCTTCTATGACTCCAGTTCCAAAGAGCTGACATCCTCTTCCGGCCTCTAAGGGCACCAGGCACTCATGCGGTACATAGTTATATGTACAGGCAAAATACTCGTACACGTAAGAGAAAATGAAAATAAAAGAAACAAACAAAGTCAAGGTGTTCAGGGGTAGGGGGATAGGTTAGTATGAGGTTTGCCTGGCCATTGGAGGACCTACGCTACATCCTTAGAACCCACACTTGGTGGCCTGCCTTTGTAATCCCAATGCTGGATGGGTGGAGGCAGGCAAATTCCACAGGGGCTCACTGGTCACTCGTGACCTAACTGGCAAGTCCCAGATTCCAAAAACATTCTATCTTAAAAAGCAAGATGGATGGCTCCTGTGGTACAATAACCAAGATAAAGCCCGCTCGGTCCCACGCCTGCAGTGCTTGAGCCTACATGGGCATACACGAATGAGACGTTTGCTGTTGCTAGAGCTTTTGACCAGGAGGACTCTATGACTACACACTACCTGGAAGGGCATCGTTTTCTGCCTGTGTAAGGCTTGGCTCGAGCTAGAACTTCTGTTAAAGAGTTGAACAAGCCAAATACTAGCTGTCTGATGAGCATGAATTCGGACATCTTCATCTCCATCCAGCAAACCTCTCTCATAGAAGATCAGTTGTGTGCATGGCATTTTTATATAAATACTAACAGAGCCTGCAGACATGGACGAGCCACCTGTTCTGGATGACCAGCTCTCCCATTTAGATAACATGAAGGTTTGGGAGGCTTGTGGCATGGCCCGGGCATCCTGTGTATACAGCATATCCTGGAAAACGGCTGCCTACCCATCATTACGGTGTCTTCTGAACCACTTGGATCACACTGATCCCTTCCTAGAATTTGTTGTAACATCTCAGGATATATTTGTGTTTGTGTTGACTTGTTCCATAGACAGCTTATTATTTTTCTCATTCTTTCTGTCACTCCCACAAACTATAATTAAAATAGTTCTCCTCCCCCAAGGAATTGGACACATTTGAAAATATTGTTTGTTTTGATTTTAGATTTCAATTCAGAAGCAGCAGCAGCAGCCTGACAGTACTGGGCATGGTGGCGTCACCTGTATAACCAGTACTTAAGAGACAGAGGCAAGATAAACAATGTCAGTTGGGGTACATAGTTCCACGCTAGCGTGGGCTAGAATGAGACCGTGCCTCAAGACAAAAAAAAAAAAAAGAAAAAGAAACAAAACACAAATAACAGCAAAACTAGAGTGTTTTTTTTTTGTTTTGTTTTGTTTTGTTTGTTTGTTTTTTTGTTTTGACAAGTGTGGTGGCAGGAGGGTCAGGAGTTCAAGGTCATTGAGTTCCGGGGAAAGCCTGCTGTACTTGAGACTCTTGTCTTTTTAAAATGTGTTGAATCACTAAGATCACAGAACTTCAAAAGTACTATCGATCTGCTAACAACTTCACAGAAACCCAGTACAGCTGCCTGCCTCTTAACTCAGCGGGCCGGGCGGGGGAGGCCCTGCAGCTCTTCCTCTGGGGTAAGGGGGGCTGCGGGGAAAGCCCGGATCAGCCCTCGGTGGCGGGACCGGCAGGCAAGCTCAGCAGCCGGGCAGATCCTGCCTTCCGAGCCAGCGGAGCGTCGGGGCGCAGCGCGGAGCGGGGGTTTAGGCCTTCCCCGCAGCCCTCATTCTCCGCCCGGGCGAGCTCCTGGCTGCTCGTGGGCTCGGAGGCCACGAGCCTCGGCCCTGGAAGCTGTCCTCGCCTCACCCCACTCTGCCCCTTCGGTATTTCTCAATGACCGGCGCTCTAGGACACTTCCGATGCGGGGGAGGGGTACCACTCTCGCGCGCGGGTTTAACAGTTCCTTCCGGCCGCGCCCTGGCCGCTGCAGAGCCTGCACCTCTATGCTCGGGCAAGCAGCGGCGGGTCCTCGCTGTGCCAAGGGAGCCCAGGACAGTGCAGACTCAGTGAGAAGCGGCCACTGCCCTGCAGGATGAATGGCTCCGGGCCCATTGCACAATCTCCGGTATACTTAGCCAAGGGCGGCGGTGCAGGGCTCATCCCCGGGGTGGCACACTCCCGGATCGGTTTCCCTTTCGGCTGCATAGCCAGGATTTTATTAAATAGGGACGAAAGGCCCCTGTCCGGCCTCCCTCCGTTCAGGTATTATGAATGAAAAGGCAACTCTGACAAGCCTCTGAGGTCGCCACTTCAGGTAGGAGGGGTAGCTGGACGTGAGCTCTCGGCAGCTCACCAAGGGCTTGGGTGTGCTTTTGCTGGGGGTGGGGGGGACAGAACGCAGGAAGTAATCGACGCAGCGGAGAAGGAAGTATTCTTTGTGTAAAAATGTAACCGCCAGGGCTTGCCCCGAGTTTCAGTTTACAACTGTACAAGCCTCAGCCGATTTAAGAATGGGTTATGCAAAGGGTCTTTCGCTTGTGGCTGCTCACCTTCAGGCTGGCCGCTGCTGGGAAGAGCTGTTTCTAGCAAGTTCCTACCCCGTTCTAGCCCCATCTCCACCGACTCTAGGAAAGCCGGGGAAGCCATTAGGGTGCAGTCCGGTATTCTCAACATAAGGCAAGAAGATTGCAAACTGAATCTTAGGGGGGGGGGGGGGGAGGAGATTCTCCTCCAGCACTTGAAAAACTAAATCAGGTTGGGTATGTCTCCCGTTGTTAGAGTGCATGTAGCACTTAGTGTGCATGAAGCTCTGGGTTCGATTCCCCAACTCCTCATTAAACTGGCCATAAGTTCCTCGAAGATCTGGAACCTCAAGGTCATCCTCACCTACACCTCTTTAGGGACACAGGAGCCCTTGAGCTTATCACAGAGAAAGAAACTC